CTTGCAGTCTCCTTATAATATAAAATAAATAAAAAGTCCAACAAGATGAGTATAAACCCCTCACAATGGCCACAGCAGGTGTATACAGTACATCTGAGAACCAAGGTGCAGAAATCTTATCAATATTATCCCCAAACCATTGTTGGGCTATTTAACTCCAGCATCTACTGAAAACTGAAATACCAATTTTGGTTGGCATAACCCTATAAAGTCATAATACCGTCCCTTATATTATTTTATTGTTGTTATTATTCATTTGTGCTGTCAGTATTCACTTTGAGAGTATGTAGCGTGAAGAGAGTGGGAGAGCAGAGCAACATGGAAGGTGGTGTAAAAGTTTTCCTGACGTTTTTGTGGCTGCAGATGCAGATGGTGAATCTGGTGGATTCAGGAGTTTGGAGCATCAAGGAGGATTCATCCTTGGTCTGATAGAGGGTGTTGGGAGACTGTGTCTGATCTGCCCTGGCCTGGCAGCAGGAGGCCCACCATCCTGGTCAGCTCTTGGATCAAGTGTGAGCACTGTGGGGAGCTGCTGATGAAGCTGACACCCAGCGACCTGGCACCCAGTACCTGCAATGTGCACCTGCAGTCAGGATTATGTAGCTGGTGTGAACCAGCAAGTGTCCTACAAAAGCTGGCCTCATCCACACTGCAGGCAGAGTTTGGGCCCCTGGAGGCAGACTGTGATGAGTGATCCCCAGAGAGTGACTCAGAGGAGGAATGGGACTGGGTGGACACTTCTGAGGAATATGAGTATACTGCATCTGGAACTACAAGCCTCATCGCTGGATATTCGGTACAGACAGAAGACCTGTACAGACAGGACCTGAATGAAAGTAAGATATGTAACAAATGCTGTAGCAGCCAGAAGTGGGGCACACATTTTTTTGTGCTAGCTTATTTTACTGGATAAATGCCCAAAAAAACCTTTTTGTCATACTTGGCTTTCAGAAAACTGTAAACAGTGTGGCATGATGCAAAATATACTGAAAAATAAAATTTGGGGTATTCCCTCATACATATGGCACAATAAAAAAAAAATCTGAATTAGTTAGTCTATTCTACCCTTACTTATTATTGGGGGGATGAGGTGTTTCCTTGCCTCAAATAACCTTATTTTCAGGCAGCATCCCTACTTAAAGTAATGGATCATAGTAGAACATCCAAGCTGTGGACCCACATTGAGGATGCCTTGCTTTCTTCTGACCTTACTCTGGACCAGCCTTTCTCAACCAGGGTGCCCAGGCACCTTGCGGTGCCTTGAAGTTTATTCAGGGGTGTCTTCGCAAAATGTCTAAAAATTGCCCAAAACTTGTATACAAGCCAGCGGGTGGAACAAGTCTGCCTTTTAGTTACAACAAAGCCACAGGTTTTCATTGTGAACTATTATCACCTTCTAGCCACCGGTGTCCTGACAACCAATTACATCATCAGTTGATAAGGAGGATGTCGGTTGCTTGCACAGCATCCTAGTTTGACCCTCCCCTGCTCCTCTCCATCAGTGCTGGGGTCACATTAGCTCTGTGATGGAGAAAACTGAGGGAGAAGAGAACTGAAATACTAGTCAGTAGCAGTATGCAAAAGTGTATTTGCTTAGGAATAATATATCCCTCTAATGTTGGGTGTCCTACAAGTGTGGATGTTGCTGCATTATATAAAAACTATTAGAATAGTTTTTCACATTTTAGAATGGGGTGCCCTTTTAAAATTATGGACAATCTAGGGGTACCTCAAGATTGTCCATAATTTTTAAAGGGTGCACCGGGACTGTCCATAATTTTAAAGGGTGCCTTGACTGAAAAAAGGTTGAGAAACACTGCTTTGGACTGGCCCTCGTAAGATCTCTTGTCAAATATCACTAGTGATACCTTGCGTATCTCGGAGCGATACATGAGTATGGGGTTACTCTCATCAAGGCTGAGCCCCCTGACCCCATTATGCAGTAATGCTTCTTTTGCCCCAACTACAGTTAGCTCTACATTTCTCTCCTGGTTTAGGAGTGATAATCCTCTATCTGGTGGTAGACACCTCCCTCTCTCCTGGACCCTTCCAAATTGCACAACCCATGGAGTGCTCAGCTGGAATATACACAGCTGCAACACTTCTTAATGCTGGCCATACATGGGTCGAAATTCGACCGATTTTTCACCTAAGATTAAATCTGCCGATTTTTGCTCTGTTAGTGAGTCAATGGCACCAGCCGAGTTTCATGGTTCCTCCCCTTTTCGGTGATCGGGCATGTTGGAGAATTCTCAAAAAACTACCGATTTTCCACTCAATGATGGTCAAATCGTACGATCGTTTTTTCCGAAAAGAATATGCGCATGAGCCATGCCCTGGAAGGAACAGAAGTTACGCCTGTTATATGGGGTGAACTTTATGACTTGCTTGGCTGATTTTCTAAATCATTGATGGCACCATCGGATTACCAAGCGAACAACGGTTTCAATTTTTGGACGAAAAATTGTTCGGAATTTGACCCATGTATGGCCTGCTTAAGACAGTACTCTTCCCCAGATTATCTCACTAGAACAGTCACGGATTTTGAATCATTGCTTTCCCAGTCCTGCAGACCTGACCTGACCTGCTCTCTCAGATATACCAAATCCTACTGCAGGAATCATATCTGAACTTGCCTTTACTTCTGTCCAAATGGAAACAGAACTGAATGTACTGGCATATGATCTAGAGTGGACTAAAATCATAGCATTATCTTACAAACTTTCAGCTTCTTCAATTGCCCAAGAATGTAATTACTGCATAATCACTAGGTGGTATCGCTGTCCTCAACCCTCATAAAACCAATCCTACCATCCCTGAAGTTTGCAGGTGCTGTTTTCAGGCTCCTGCCAATATGCTTCATATATGGGACACTTGCCCGTACGTAATCCTTTTTAGGGACAAAATTTTGCAACTATTCACTGATCTAGCGGGTGATACATACCAGAACCCGTGCCAGCCACTGCTTACTGTACTGCTGCTACAAACAGATCAATTTCTTGACCACAGCTTGATCTGTTATTGCAAGATGTTGGCATCAAACTGACTCACCCATATTAGCCACTTGGGGCTTCTGAAATTAATCAGATTGAATATCTTGAAAATATGATAGCTTGGGATGATGACAAATCTAACTCCCACAGCCTCATTTGCACTCTCCGGAACCATTTCCGGTATTCTAATTCTAATACTTTTTTTCTCATCCATGGTTTAACCTTGTGAGCAGCTCAGGGATCCTGGTGCTGTCTTCCCCCGTTAGCTCTGTCAATACCTTCCCCACTTTTATTATATTTTTTGGGTGTTTTACCCCTTCTCTCCCCTTATGATCTCTCTCTCTCCTCTTTTACTGGTTTTCTCTATGCTCTCCCCTCTACTATGTTGCCAGACTAAGCCTTAGATATGCTCTTTTTCTGTGACAATCCAATGTCACCATGGAGCCCTTGCTCTATTACTGCAAGTATTTGTTTTGTTTTCTACTTTTATACTATGGGGGAGATTGACTAAAACTGGTGCACTCAAAATCTGGTGCACCTGTGCATGGTAGCCAAACAGCTTCTAACTTCAGCTCGTTCAATTAACCTCCCTGAAGGTATTCCCGAGTATAACTCGGGGTAAAGTTTCAGCACCACAAGCGGTAACCCCCGAGCTACACTCGGGAATACCCTGCAGCGTTGCTCCGGGATCTCTTCTGAACTTACCTTGTCCTTCGCTCCCGCGATGCCCTCCCCCCCCTGCAGTGTCCCTGGCAATGTCCTCCGGCTGATGCCGGCATCTGTCTTCCGGGTTCCATTCCTTGCGACGTCAGGACATACGGGGACGGAACTGGCGGGAAATCTGAAAATTTTAAAAGTGACATTCACTAAATTCACTAAAATCACATAGTAAAACATTACTGTATCAAACCATTTCACATACATTTTGTCCTGTGCCCTGCCCTGCATTTTTACCATTCTCTCTGCGTAGAAACTGAGAAATGTCCATGGCGTCCAAAAATCATCCCTTTAGGTCAAAAGCGGTTTTAGACCAGCTAGAGAACAGCGATAGTAAATCAGAACCACTTGCAGAATTGAGTGATAATGATTTGTGGGGAAATTCATCATCAGACACTGAAAACGATTCTGCGACTTTGCTCAGTGATGTGCGAACTGGCGCTCTATTTCAAATTTCAGTGTTTTTGGTTTGATTATATTATTGAAATAAATGTATTATATTATTATTTTTTATGATTATTTATTAAATTATAATTTATGATTTTGTGTTTCAAATTTTAACATACTCAGGATCTTTACTAGACTCTTGTTCGGACAGATTGCAGTGAGTTATTCCTAAAAATTACAGGTCTACAATAAAAAAACTACATATTTCCATGCAATAAAATGTACCGCTTAGAGTACAGAAATATGGACCACTAGGGAGGCTATGCTTTTGGCAATAAATCCCGGAAGCTGATTGGGTTCTGTGCCAAGCTGCACCAGATTTTGCATTCTCCAGTTTTAGTAAATAACGCCCTATGTGTTTACAGTCCAAGTTTGTACTCTGATATATTATGGAATGCAATTAGCGTTCATACAAATGATAGTTTGCTTGATGGCACTGTTTTTTTTTAAAAACAAGGTACTATCTACAGATGCGGGTATAGATATGTTCTTACTTCACTGGAACATTATGATTTGTATCTATGTATATTGTCCTATTTGCAAATTAAATAAAACAGATTAAACATAAAGTACATAAAGAAAATTGGGGTTTTTAAACACTTCAACAAATAACTTATGAGCCAAGCAGTAACAACATACAGTTTTTGTGTTTAATACTCGTTCTAGCACTTGAACGCATATGGTCATTCTTGCTTTTATTTTGTAACAACTAGGACCTACATTAATTAATTTTTTCATTTGTCTTCTCTTTGTTTTCTCTAATACATGTGGGATCTTCATTGTCCATATTATTTGAATATTTTCGCTGTATTATTATATATTAATATATATTTCCTATTGGCTCCTGTTAGATTTACTACAACAACACATTTTATGGAGGGGAAAAAACGACTGATACATTTACAACACGCTGTAAGTACATTTCTGACAAATGATTTGTATGAAAACGTACTACTGATCTTAATGTTGCTACTATGAACTTGCAGTTCTATTACAATTGAAATATATTTTTTACATTCAAATGTATTTGGGTTATATTTATAAAGCTGTGAATGTGACATTTTCCAAACATTCACTGTAGGCGAATCTTCCTGACAAATATGTTTAATATACAATACACTATTCATGCCAGTAAATGTTTGGTGAATGTTACATTCACTGCTTTACAAATATGCATTTTATTATAGGCCAAGAAAGGCCTATATTTTTTTTTCCATTTGCTTCAGCTTTAGAATGTGTAAATCACACAAGGAGGAACTGATCTGATTGAATAGTAAACTGCAGCTCTCCCAACAAACAACTACTGCTTCCACTATACAGTACATCATAAGCATGCAGTGGTGTATTTAGGTTTTGTGCTGCCCTAGGCAACACAAAATCATCTGCCCCCATGGACACGACCAACACCCTCCCACTTCCCCCTTCCATGGAGAGAGCCTGACATTGACCAACAACACCCCTGCCCCCTACCTGGGAGAACCTTCCACTACCCCCCCAGCGACAGAGAGAAAGACACCCATCTTCACAGCTCCGGACATCCCCCCGGGAAAGACACCCATCTTCACAGCTCCGGAGATCCCCGGGAACAAGAGTCAGGCTCTACATACACCATCAAGCAGCCCGCAGCCTCTCTTGGATCCCACCTGGTTCCCATGGCGCACGTGTCCCTTCTTCCATCCCTTCTTCTGGAGGGAGGTGCTGCCCCCCTGAAAAATGCCACCCTAGGCAAGTGCCTTGTTTGCCTTGTGGTAAATACGCCCCTGGCCACATGTATTGCTTTAATAGATTTAACCATATTGTCAGGAATTTCTGTGCATTTTTCTAACCAGCCACAGAACTGTGAACTGCCAATGGGGTCTCTAGGACTTTTCTAATTTTCTAGTGCAATTTTTTTAGTGTAGTTTAATGCAGTTAATGAGGTCGATTTACTAAAACTAGAGAGTGCAAGGTATGGTGCAGCTTTGCACAGAAAACAATCAGCTTCCAAGTTTTTTTCCAAATCTTAATTGAACAAGCTGAATTTAGAAGCGGATTGGTTACCATGCACAACTGCACCAGATTTTGCATTCTCCAGTTTTAGTAAATCAATCTCAATGTCTTTGATATGGATTATTATGGCACAAGGTAAGGGTTAACAGCCCATGCATTAAATGTCAAATGGGTAAAGGCATCATGTAGAGAATCATCAATCAAATACAGCTAACAGTCCATACAGTGTCCATAGAAAAGATGAGCATTGGTGGCAGTTGTCCCCAGATTAAGCCAGCTCTGCAGTGGGATTATAAAAAGGAGAATGTAAATGCCATCTAAGTGCATTGTAAAAAACAACTTTAGTAAGCAGTGGTAATAAAAACAAGCAAAATATTGAAGGTGGTATCGCTCATCATAACAAGAATGCAACATCACTTGACCCCCGTCCTATAGGACCTGCCAAATCAGTGCACCTGTAGGCTGTGTACACAGAGCCGAGGACACTCTGTGGAAACCCAATAGTGTCTCTGTCCAGCTTGGAGCGTACATGGGGGGGCAGATGTGATGTCAGCTGAGGGGAAGGACCAGGGCTAAACCTGCAATATCTTGCTGCTCTTTGCTCCCTACTATGTCAGCGCACATACACACCGTTATTCCTTTTATTCATTTGGGGGTCCTCTCCCCTTACAGGGGTTAAGGATGCCCACACATCATTGTGCAGTGCAAAATTAAAGTGTTTTTTAAGCTTAATAGTTTTTTATTCTTAATGCATTCTATGAATTAAAACTGTCTGTGTCACAGAATCCCCCCTCTCCCCCTCTTAGCCCGATCTGTGATGGGGGAGTAGGGGGCAGGGCCCGAGCGACCCTGTCTTGTCAATAAATGCAGCCAGGGCAGCTTGGGAGTCAGCCTGCAAGAATATTCCCATAGAAAGGCTTTCTATTGGGTACTCACCGAAGAGGAGGAGCCAGGAGCACTGGCTGGGTTCCCCAGAAGAGGGGAATCAGGGCTGATGTGTACAAAACCGTTGCACAGAACAGGTAAGTATAACATGTTTATTATTTTATTACAAAATGAAGTTTTAATATCACTTTAAAGAGTTACTAAACCCAGGACACTGCATTCACTATATCCAGTCTTCCACAGTACACAGAACATGGAAATGCAATTATTTTAGTAAACAAACTGCTAAATACCTTTTCTTATCAGCAATGTGTAGCAATCTTGTGACTTCTATTAGTGTCCGACCGAGCACTGGTTAATCTTGTAGGAGGAGTTTTCATTCTCCTCTGACTGTCCTATGAGGCTGCATAACTCCTGACCCTCTGTTTGGACTGCGGTGATTGGTCCTATGCCGATCACATGCACCCTCCCCCCCAAAAAAACCCTCTCTAGCAATACTCAGCAAACAGAGCATGTGCAGACTTGCCACTGTTGCTCTAACTATGGCAGATGGATTGGGGGGCAGCAAAAGAAGGGGAGGACCAGAGAAGACAGGATCAAACAGCCATTTTACACAATGTAGAGGATTAACCCCTTAGGTTCTACAGTTAGTCTAACAAGCATGCTTTACTACATATACAAACTAATTTTATTGTTGGGGATTTAGTAACACTTTCTTTCAGGACTTACCCTTTGGCTAGAGCTAATGTTGTGTGGCATTTTCTGCCACCCTAGGTTAGTTTGCATGAATTCTACCCTCACCTTATAATATAGTGTCCAAACATGCCTTTTCTGGCTATGAAGAAACTGGTGGCTAAATGTCATTCTTTTACTGCCTTCATGGGAGAGTAAGCTACCAAGCCACAAGCCAAATTATTTGAACCCAAAGTACCCCAACTACATATGTTCCCTGGGAACAGCCATCAGAAAATTTAAACTGTTTTAACAGTAGGCTAAGACTTGGCCTCTCATTTCAAGATTCTGACCACCAAAGTATACGTGCTTGCTTTGCTGCCATGGACCTGCAATGCAATGAGGTGCAACTGCAGAGTCTAAGCACTAGCATCTCAGATAGGGCTGTGGCACAACAATGAACAATGGTTCACCTATCCAATGGACAGTGGTTCACTTGGGAAATGCCACAGCTTAATATAGTTAATAATAAATGGTCTAACCAGTACCATAAAGGACCTGAATTTAGTTTGACATGCTCATCAGAAATGATTACTGGCTAGAATAATGTAAACAGATATTTTTGAATGAGCAGAGAACCTTGCCTCCAGAACTTGAAAGCCTTGCCAAAATCAGCTCAGATTGCATCTTTCTTCCCAACACTTTAAAAGCAATTAAAAATAGGAACTACCAAGTTTTCAGAAGTATAAAGGCCCCAGATTCTTTGCATAAAATACAGGGAAGGAATTTATTACATCCTGTCCTTCTAAAACGCAGAGAAACTTCAGTGCCTAGCTGGCCACTAAAAACTGTTGTTAGCTGGATAAATTATGCTTGCTTTGTAACCTGTACTATAACATATCAGCAGGTTAGTGTCATTTTAATTAATGGAGTGGCTGATGATTTTATTGTTTTGTCATTCGCTAAATTTGTTGACATACATTTAAAGGAAAAGTGCACCTTTAGTAACATGTTACACTCCAGGGCGGCGGCTCCTCTGTGCCAGATCAAGTACATGTATGTGAAAAAGGACAAAAGTCCATCCAGTTCAGCCAAAAAAGAAAAAGTTATAATCCTATACCCATAGTTGATCCAGAGGAAGGCAAAAAAAAGCCCAGCAAAGCATGATCCAATTTGCACCTGCAGGGGAAAAAAATTATTTCTGATCCCCTGAGAGGCAATTGGATATTCCCTGGATCAACTTTACCTATAAATGTTAGTAACCAGTTATGTTCCATGTATCCAAGAAAGAATCCAGGCATGCCCCCTTGTCCTCTGTGATGACCTCAAGGTGAATACCTCTACACCGAGTTCAATATATGAACCACTGATGTATTTATACATGTTGATCATATCCCCCCTTATTATCCTCTTCTCAGGAGAGAATAAATTCAGTTCCTCTAATATTTCCTCATAGCTGAGGTCCTCCATGCCTCTTATCAGTTTGGTTGCCCTTCTCTGCAATTTCTCCAGTTCCCCAATGTTTTTTGTGAATTGGCGCCCAAAATTGAACTGAATATTCTAGATGAGGTGTTACTAATGATTTGTACAGGGGCAAAATGATATCTCTGTCTGGAGTCTATACCTCTTTTAATATAAGAGAGGATTTTGCTCGCTTTTGAAACCGCAGCTTGGCATTGCATGCCATTATTAAGCTTGTGATCTACCAGGACTCCCAGATCCTTCTTCACCATTGTTTCCCTCAGTTGTACTCCCCTTAGTATGTATGATGCATTCATATTCTTAGCGCCCAAGTGTATAACCTTACATTTATCAACATTAAACCTCATTTGGCACCTAGTTGGCAAATTAAACAGTGCATTGAGGTCAGCTTGTAAGTTGGAGACATCCTGCAAGGACGTTATTCCACTGCACAGCTTGATGTCATCTGCAAAGACTGAAATGGTATTTTTGATCCCAGACCCTATATCGTTTATAAATATATTAAAAAGTAATGGTCCCAACACTGAACCTTGGGGTACACCACTGACAACCCTAGACCATTCAGAGTATGAATCATTAACTGCTACTCTCTGAATACAGTCTTTTATCCATTACATACTGATTTTTCCAAGCCTGTAGATTTTACGTTACACATTAGCCATGTGTGGGGAACTGTGTCAAAAACTTTTGTAAAATCCAAGTATACCACATCCACATCCACCCCTCTGTCCAAGGTTTTGCTCACCTCCTATAAAAACAAATCAGATTTATTTGACAACTTCTGTCTTTCATGAATCCATGCTGTCTGTTGCTTAAAATATTTTTTTACAGCAAGAACTCATCTATGTGGTCTTTTATTAAACTCTCCAGTATCTTCCTAACTA